TCTCTCCAGTACTTTTGCAAAGATGTATTTATGGGAAACTGGCCTTAACCAGACTAACATCCCGGTGCATCTCATTCAAATGGTTTATCTGCAAATATCTAATCCATAGAGGAAATATTGTCTGAAATAGATACGCAGTGCTCCTAGCAAGATAGGGAAAAGGCAAGGCACCACCCTTCAGTGGTGGTATTTATTAAAGTTCTACCTGCTATAAACAAACCACACTCTGACCTTCTTACACGGTGTCCTGTGCTCCTGAGATCTCACATTTTCTGAGGGACAAGTTCTGCTCACTGTTGTATGTGTGCACTGTGTGGAGTAGTGTTCGTGTATATACACACACACACACACACACACACACTTTTCTATCTTCCTCTCCTTCCTTGGTGCAAAAAGCTGACTGCTAGGAGGAGAGTCCAGCTTCTCCATGGCTCTGCTAGTACCTACCTAGCATGCTAGCAGTCTGCAGTACATATTAGTCAAGGTGCATTTCATCCCATTACAACAGAACAGTAAAGGACACCTAGAATTATTCCTGACTATTTTCCTGATTGACCATGACATCTAGATCTTGTGAGTCTCATTAACTCCAAATAGGAAGTAGAAAAGGAACTGGAGGGTGTCTAAAATAAAAGGAACTAGAGATAGGGACCGAATGTGAGAGGCCCTGCAAGAAACAACCCCTTGAATCAGCCAAGTTCAGGTCCAGGCACTGGCAGGAAACTTCTGTTTGCTGTTATTTAAGATCACATGAAAGGAAACCGCAAGAAAGTGGATACATCCTAATTATATTGCTTCAGATTGGACCTCTCTGGTCCAGTACCCTCAGTACCTGACTGATCCCAAACGAGGGGATTTGCTGGACCAGAAGAGGTTCCTCCCCTCCTGGCCCATGCTGCCACTGGGTTAGAGCGCCAGCCTGCCCTCATTGCTGTCCCAGTCCCTCAGGTTACTCTAGATGCTGCCAACCCCGCTGCCGCTGGGGCTGGAGTGCCATGGCCAGAGCTCCATAGCTGGGGCAGAGCTCTGCAGCCACTCATCTCCGTGGCTGGGGCTGGAGCTGTGCAGCCGGGGCTGAGGCCAGAGCTCCCTGTCTGTAGCTGGAGTTGGGGTGGAGCTCCCAGAATGGGGCTGGGGCTGGGGCTGGAGCTTCATGGCCAGGGCTGGAGCTCCTTGGCAGCCGCTTTGGCCAGAACTCCCTGCCATGCTACCCATTCCTCCTCCCCTTCACTGACACTGGGCTCCTAGCTGAGTTGCCAGTACCCCCTAAATACCAGATCAAGGAGTCCCGGTTAAGGGAGGTACAACCTATAGTGTGTTTTTTATTGGGAACAGAATAGAAACACCACCTGCCTATGTGAAATTCAGATGATAGGCTGTGACAGACCATTTTTGATCAGTGGTGCTGATTAGCAAACAGTTCATATATGGCAGATTACAAATAAGGGTGAAGACACAAATTATAGAAGGGGAAGGAGGAAGATCAGAACATCGGCATGTGGAGTTATGGTAAGGGAGCCATTAATGATCAGCGCTATTATAAAGGACCACGTTTTGTACTGATTTTATGCCCCTTGCAACTTCACTGAAGCCAACACAGAAAGTGCCCCTCTTAAATCACTATCTGAATTACCTCACTACTATCATAAAATGGACATTCTGTAATAAAAATAATGAAACAATTAATGTGTCTTTCTCCCTCTAAAATACTAAATAAGAGTTAGGCAGGTTGGAATGCATGTAAATATGGATAGATAGATATATTATACTCAAGTTAATATCATGAATGGAAAAGTTTTAACCAGTACTTTGTACTTCCATAGTGCATTCATGCAAGAAATTCAGTGTCTCCAAAATCTAAATTATGCCTCACAACAGCCCTGTAGAGTAGAAGCTAATTTTCTTGTTTTATAGCAGGAGGAACCAAGGTGCAGAGGGACTCTGTGAGTTTCCTGAGCTCTCCCAGAGTTTGTTTACACATAATGTCAAAATAATGTTGAGCTGGAGGACCTCTTACTCTGACTCCTGTAACCCTCATTTCATGGGGAGTAAGGGAAATCAGAGGAAGAGTGCTCTTTCTTGGACTTCCTGCTCTGTAGACAGCACCAAATGCTGAAATAAGCTAGTTCAACTTAAAGTACTCAATTGGTGTAGCTCAAGTTGTGTAGCTTATGTCGGCATTAGCTCTGCTGTGTAGATGTGCCCACAGTGAGTCAGTGGCAGAATCACAAATTGATCCTAGGAATCCTGATTCCCAGTCCCCTGCTTTCTTACTGTCATTTGTGATGGATATTTTTTGACCTAATGTTCTGATGCTCCAAAGTCTGTGTCACCTATTGGCCTCCCCATCTGGCTCAAGACTCTTTCCTAGTATTTCTGAATGCTGATTTTCCCATTGTGTCCTCTCATGGGCCAGTCAACCTTTAGTTTAATTGATTTTTGTAATGGGCTGTCATGTATCCCAGTACAATATGTTTTTAATTTTAAATGAAA